GTGCATTTCGCGCCGTCTTAGCAGAACGATCTACAATAATCGTGAACCTTCTCGAACAATGACGCGAAGTTCGCGCTGAGCATTCAGCATTTATGCCCGGTATTAGAGGCGAAAACAGAATTATCCATGCGTGAAAAGGAGGAAAGCGAGTGGCATTGCCCCAGTTTTAAAAAGTATCATCCCAATCCGTAAAACAAAATTGAAGAAAATTGAGGCAAAAAGTAGGAAAGTACAATAAAAACAAAGAACAATAGTTGAGAATCAACCACAAACAATACAGTTCTTAGTTTTCTTCACGCGCATGAGACGCTTCAAGAGCACGACATGAGTGACTTAAGATCGCACACGTTGGTGTTTTTGAGAGTTCGTGATGCTGTCGGGGACAATTTCGTAGTCAAGTGCACCGAGAGGTCAAACTGCCCTGTGCGGTTCGAAGTACTGTGACAGAAGTTTTTTTTTTTTTACTTAAGCCACGGCGGCTTATCGGCGTTCACACTCAAAAAGGGTCACCAGACTTGTACTGCAAGAAACTTCATCGAAGATTGTAACGGTGGCTGTCATTCGTTTGTTGGTTTTGGTGCGGTGGTGGGCGAGTTGTCGAGCTTCTTCGGCAAGCAGGAGGTACACTCACGTCAATGTTTCTTCGTCGCTGATGTTGAGTAACATGGCGTTGGGCCTCGTCGCCGAGGTCCTTTCATGCACCAACATTTACGGCGTCATTTGGATCGTCTCTTGCACGGCGCTGAGCACGAACGTCACGTACAGATGAAGTGCATTCCCCGTCTTGCGTTCACCATCGACATACATAGCCAGCATATCTGTGATTTTCCAATGACGCTCGTTGAGGCTATTGGTTAGTGGATGGTAGGTGGTAATTCAGCGGCGACTTGTCTGGCTGTACCTCAGGATCGCTTGTGTTAGGCCTGTAATAAAGGCCGCACCTGTGTCAGTAATGAAGACCTCTGGAGTCTCTGGAGCTCCGTGGTGCCGGAGAATGTTCTGGACGAAGAAATTCGCTACCTCGGAGGCACTGACTTTGGGCAGGGTCCTGGACTCAGCCTCGAATATTCCAGCTTTATCACTGGTCGTCGAGCAAGCTCCGGAATAATCTCGAGTGTTCGTGTCTTGCGCGCAAACCTAACTGAACGATCTACAACGACCGTGTACTATTTCGAACAATAAGACGCAGTTTGCGCTGAGCATTGCTGAAACGCTTCGTGTACGAAAGCAGAAACATACAAAAGAGGAAATAAGGAACGCCTGTGGCAATATGTATTCTGAAGAGTATCTATGAATGCGCACAAATCAGATTTCGGTGGAGATACTCATACAAGTATTCTGAAAATACAAATATCGAAACACACGTGCTTGAAGCCTAAAAATTGAGGCACTGAAAAACACCTATAAAACACTTAACTAGATATTACGAAGATAATTTAGCAAAAATAGAAAAAAGTATTCCGAAATAGAATTACAGTACCACACATATATGCAGGAATACAGACACTAAATTTTTTTAAGTTCCATGAGTGTTGATGTTCCGCATTTACATTGCTTAAAGGGGCCCAGCAACACTTCTTGAGCATGGTCAGAAAACGCCGCCGATTGATAGTATAGGCTCACGAGAACACGAGGGCCAAACATTATAGCGCAGCACACGACTTAGAATTCACAATAAATTAACAAATCAGCTAAAGATAGCTTTCTTTCACTCCACAAATCACGGAATAAGCCCAAAAATTACTCGTAGTAAACCCATACATCAGCAATTGACTGATTTGAACAAGGCACGCTCCGTTGTTACAGAGGTTGCAGCGAGAGGCTGTCACTTGTCCACACGTGCCCGCGCCATTACACTGAAAAAGCCGTGTATTCAAAAAAAAAAAGGCAAAGGCCTTAAAATAAAGAGGCGCGAGTGATGCTTTTTGTTTGCCCCTCCAATTCCTCCCTGCTTAGCTTCGAGCGCTTTCGTCGGGACGAGGGAAGAGAGAATGCAATTGCAGCGTGGGACAAGTCTCTGTAACTCTGCTCGTGCTGGGCGGATTCTTCTGGTGGCGTTGAATTTGTGAGGTAATACGCTTTTCCAGTGAATTAATTCTATGGTTACTTAAAAAGGTGTTTCAGCTCCCATTTAAGGCCAACTCCCGTGATTTTCGAGATCAGTGGATGTCAATGAAGTTCACTGTGCACGTTCATCTGCAGGTTTTGCAAAACGTGCAGTTGAAATTTCAAGCCTGCGAATTAGGATGAATGACGCCGATGTCATTCATTCCAAATTGGAGGCTTGAGATTTTAGCAGGTTTTTTTTTCAAATCAATTTTATAGCTCGCCTTGAAATGCTCACCTCACTTGCCAGAATAAATGGAAATATCGTTTGTGTGACGTTGAGTTTTGCCGGGCGGATGTGACGAACTGATTTGCCACTGCAGCATCTGCTTGTCTGCTATGGATTGTGTGGGTTTGGGCGACGCTTCCTTGGTTGAAAGTGCGATTTTCTTTTCCGTGTTGGTGGGCATGTGCTAGGGGACTATTGGTGTTTGTTGGTGCCACACACGATTCGCCTTTTATTCACCATAATAGCGAAGCATTTTAACAGATTGCCGCGGACGATGTGGACAGGTAGTGCCCTCTAGCGGGCATTATGTGCAACCAGGCAGGTTCCGGCAGCGTCCAGCAAATCTTTACGTCAGACGTAGAAGCGCACTTGGTTAAGTTTCTGTTTATGTATTGTGTTTCGGTAATTAAAAATTCTTTTCAAATTTTTTGAGCATTTCAAGTATCGGACGCGTGAGAAGAGTGTCCAAAAGACATGATAACATGGTGAAAAAATCGCCAGAGTTGGCCTTTAAGTGTACACCTACATAGTTCATAATGCTGCAGATAAGTAAAATGCAAGTCAGCCTGATTATTATCGCTTCACTGACTAAAGAACAGGACTGATGTAAGGTGCAGTATGCTCTTATTTTACACCCATGATGAATCCGTTGTGCTTAGAAGGTTTACGCTAATTGCACTAAAGTAACAGCAACATCTTAATAGGCTGGCAATAGACAGCACTGGTTTAGTTTGAATTGAAGACTGGCGATATAAAAGCCTGTTATTATTGTAGCCGAACACAACTTCCTGTTATAACTACTAAGCACCGAAATTGTTACCCCAATATCTGGCAGTGCTTCAACGGCTTTTAAAAAAATGCAAGATCGTCAGCACTGCCTCCTCGATTCTGCCGTCAGTCGCGTCATACACCTACCCTCATGAAGCATTTTGTGCGTGTGAGAGATTCTTCCCTCATCTACATGTGTCGCCGACTGGCGGGGCGCTTTTTTGACGCCAAGAGCATACAAGCTTTTCCTTCGCCATTCGATACACATCGACAAAAGAGCGGCGAGATAACTGTGTCTTTGCAGTATTCCAATACATTCAATACATAGCAAAAGTATTTAGCTACTGCGATGCAGATACCTTTGTCAAATGTATCTCAATACAGGAACTCAAAAGCATCTCTGAGATACTACTGCATCGCGATACGGCCCACCTCTGCGCTAAAGCTCTTGTGAATGATACAAATGACTATCCCAGTCATTCAGTGTAGTCATAGGGCGGCAGCACTTTCACTCTGCTATACCCAGTTTCACAACCTGGCGCAAAATAATAATTGTTTAGCCGAGCGTTACTTTAATCACACCACCAAAAATACCACGCACAAGTGATTATAATCATCAGTTGCTGCTGTCAGAATGCAAGTTGCTGTGCTGACGCTTCAGGATAAAGGCGCAATGGTGCCAAAAGGGCACGGCTGATGATTTCCATGCTTTTTGCCTCGCCGCCGCTACTTCCTTTCGCTCATCCCACAACCTATATCGACTTCACAATAGTGCGGTCATGATGGCATGGAGAGTTAAGTTGTGTGACACCATGAGTGAGTAGCGCCTGGGTGGGACGCGAAGAGCGGTAAGGTGAACAAATCGCCTAATTCTCCCAAAGGCCACGCATGACTCTAATCAATGTAACCCACGCAATCGTCTCATGTGTTTGATCATTAAAAAGAAATTACCAAATGCGCTGGATAAAGCCACCTGGTGAAACGAAATAACTCCTGTTGTTGTGAACCACCCGCCACGGTGGTCTAGTGGTATTTTTTGCTATAGACTGCAGACGACAAGGTGACGGGATCAAATCCCGGCTTGGGCGCTTGCATTCTCAATGAGAGCTTAATTGTGTTAAGTCCGCGTACTTAAATTTAGGCGCTCTTTAAAGAACCCCAGGTGCTCCCAATATCCGGAGCACTCCACACCGCATCTCTCACAATCACATCGTGGTATTCGGACGTTAAACCCCACTCAATACTATAAGTGCTTGAAAATCAATCTTTGCTTAGCGTAACATGATGAAAAGGTATCGAGAGCATCATCTGTGGGAGATATACAAAATCCTTCGCCTACTGACAAGCGCGGACTCATGCGTCCGTTGTTGATCTCTATACTTGATTGAGCAAAAAAGAAAAGGTGCTCTCTTTGTCGCGCTAAGGCGCATCAATTTTTCTCCTTCATTCAATATCCATGCACATAGTGTTAAATATTGCGTTATACAATGCCGCTTGGGAACAACACGCTTTCGTTTGTTAGCGTAACTTCCTGTGTCACACGTTTGAATATTTTCATCAAGCCTGACTTCATGTCTAGCCTGGGTGTAAAGCAACCACAACCACACGTGCAGCGCATATAAACAAATAATGACATAATGACGACAACATCAAGTAATTTTCTTACCGTCAAACGTTACAAATCAAACTATAGGTAAGAATTCTTTTCACAAAGATACTCACGCAAAAAATAGCTAATGAATGCCAAAAGAGACTGAAACGTCTAGTTGTGCCACAAAAAAAAACTGTACTTTCCTCAATAAACAAAATTCACCGAATTTAGGGTAGGCTTTGAAGGCAGTGTCAGTTGAGTGAAGGACTAATATTGAGAAACCAGATACTGTGAAAAAATTTTATTATACCATAAAGTTCTATATACTTCAGTGGGGTCTTCAAGTCTCGTTCACCATTGATGGGTTCTGCGGAAGGGTTAAGAAGAGGGCCATTTCTGTGAAAAGAAAAAATAATGGTGCATGTTTGTGAGAACTTCTGAAATCGAAGGCACGTACTCAAAGTTGGATAGAATTAGGGGAACTTACACTTCTTCTTGCGCAGAAGGGTGGCGTAACTCAGAGGAGAACCAAGACCATAGCCGTAGTTCAGGCCGTAGCCGAGCAGACCATGACCATAACCGTAGTGACCGGCCCCGTAGCCCAGAGAACCGACTCCATAACCATAGTAGAGTGGGGCAGAATGGGTCACACCATAGGTAGCGATGGCTGGGGCAGCGTGGGCAACACTGTAGGTAGCGACAGCTGGGGCAGCGTGGATGGAAGCGACAGCTGGAGCAGCGTGGACGGCAGCGACAGCTGGGGCAGCATGGACGGCAGCGACGGCTGGCGCTGCGTGAACTGTAGTGACAGCCGGAGCAGCATGGACAGCAGTCACAGATGGGGCAGCGGCGTAGGTAGCGACAGCTGGGGCAGCAGCAACAACCTGAGCGGACTGCTGGACAACCCTGGTTACAGCCGGGGCGGCAGCGTAGCTGACAGATGGGGCAGTGGCATAAGTGGCGACAGTTGGGGCAGCGTGGACAGTAGTCACGGCTGGAGCAGCTTGCACAGCAGCCACGGCTGGGGCAGCGTGCACAGCAGTCACAGCTGGGGCAGCGTGGTAGGAGGAGACGGTACGGGTGACGGCTGGGGCCGCGACAGCATAGCTGGCAGCTGGCGCGTAACCGTATCCGTAGCCGGCACCGTAGCCAGTGAGGCCGGAGTATCCAACGCCATGGGAAAGCCCGTAGTGGGATAGACCAAGACCACCGTAACCAAGACCGGCGTAACCGAGGCTACCGTAGCCAAGGCCATAACCGAGGTTATTGGCGAGGGTGTAGCCTCCAGCAAGGTGGCCAACGTGACCAGCGAGGGCGCTGGTGGCTATGGCGAGGATGATGCAGGCGCGCAGCTAAAGAAGAAAAATAAAGTGGTTTCGGATTTCAAATAAATTCACCAACATAACATACGAATCGCGGTGCATATTCATGAATTTTTATGGTTAGTGGCGGAATATTCCCGTTGTGCATAATGCTCAGGTTTTCGATTTCAACGAAAACTTGAAGGGCGACGTAAAACGTCAAGAATAACGAAGATGGTGTTTTAGTCAGTGCATTTTGTCTGTTACGTGTTCTGGAATAGAAGAAGTGGCCCAGTATCGTCTTTTTAGTTCACTGTGCTTTTTTATAGGGAACCAAAGAACACCGAAACCAAGTTCTCTTGCATAAATCTTGATTTGACGGAAAAATGCCCCTTGTTTTATGCACCATTCTTCTCTGTCCGTGTATTTAACCATGACCTGCTAATATTTTAAAGATATCTAGGTGGCCTACATAAAGGTAATCTTCGCCTCGTTTATTTGAAGTTTGGAATATTTTGGCAACAATAATCATTTGAACTTCTCATCTTTTGTGCCCTTGTGTCAAACCTGCATAGGTGTACTATGTACCTAATATTACTTGTTGATTAAGAGCCCTTCTTTACGGTTACAAAGTGAACCAAAGTTTTCATAAGGGGGCAGGATTTTTCGAAGGTACTGGCGGATATTCATTCGTAAGGAAAGAATTAGAGGTTTGCAAGCCGAAAGAACAGATATTCATTTACTTACCATGGTGGTAGCCTTAGTCTGTTACAGGAGCAGAAGCTTCGGATCTGGGTCTGTGGCGAGCGGTCTTATATACCTGACGTTTAGCTTTACGTTTTCGCAAAACAGCCTTAACACCAGGGGAGGAGAACGTCAAGGTAATTTTTATTTCCTCATTAACCTCACAAGCGTGCATTAACTGCATTGGTACGACTCACAAACGCTATTTTCTTGCTTTCCAATGTAGATAAATTTTTATTCGTTTATTTTGTACACAGTGCTTGCCGTCGCTTATAAGACGTGATGAACGCTAGTACTATGATGAAATTGTGCAAGATTGAGTATTCACCTGAGACTGCTGCTACAGTGAATACCATCATGAGAAGAGAAAGCGATGCATAGCGACTCGTGCACAAGCTCTGCAAAACCAGATACCTGTGTAAACCGCGGTAAGACGAACACGTTCCACGTTGATTTTTGTTTTGTTTCACGTGCTTAACAGAAGGTCGTGGAGAAACTTGTTCTCCGACCGGTATTTTGACATGTTAACAGATTCTGCGAGAAGGACGATTGGGTGAGGCAAACAAAAAGAGCTGAGTTACTTTCTGTACGTAAAAAACTAGCTGCCCTTTTCGAATAATTAGGTCTTTTGCTTTTGAACGGTAACTGAATAATACTTTAAAGAGAATAAATTTAGGAGGACAAACACGCTGCCTAAGAAAACGCTTTTCAATGGCAATTCATAGGCAAGAGGAATCTCGAGACATAACAAAACACCTGTAAGAAAATCAACATCATCATCATCATCATCCTCACCATCAGCCTAACTACGTCCACCGCAGGACAAAGCCTCTCCCATGTTTCGCCAGTTAACCCGGTCCTGGGCTTGCTGCTGCCAATTTATACCCGCAAACTTCTTATTCTCATCTGCCCACCTAACATTTGTCTCCCCCTAACTCGCTTGCCTTCTCTGGGAATCCAGTGAGTCACCTTTAATGACCAGCGGTCATCCTGTCTACGCGCTACACGTCCGGCCTTGTCCATTTTTCTACTTGATTTCAACTATGATATCCTTAACCCCCGTTTGCTCCCTTACCCACGCTGCTCTATTCTTGTCTCTTAAGGTTACACCTACAAATTTTCTTTCCATTGCTCGCTGCGTCGTCCTCAATTTAAGCTCAACCCTCTTTGTAAGTCTCCAGGTTTCTGCTCCGTAGCTAAAAACCGGCAAGATACAGCTGTTATATACCTTCCTCTTGAGCGATAGTGGCAATCTACCTGTCATAATTTGAGAGTGGTTGCCAAATGTGCTCCACCCCGTTCTTATTCTTCTAGTTACTTCAATCTCGTGGTTCGGCTCCGCGGTTATTACCTGTCCTAAGTAGACATAGTCTTTTACAAATTGAAGTGCACTATTACATATCTCGAAGTGCTGCTCTCTTCTGAGGTTGTTGTACATTACTTTCGTTTTCTGCGGGTTAATTATAAGACCCACCTTTCTGCTCTCCTTGTCTAACTCCGTAATCATGAGTTGCAATTCGTCCCCTGAGTTACTCAGCAATGCAATGTCATCGGCGAAGCGCAGGTTCTCAAGGTACTCTTCATTAACTCTTATCCCTTACTGTTGCCATTCCAGGCTTCTGAAAACCTCCTGTAAGCACGCGGTAAATAGCATTGGGGAGATTGTGTCCCCCTGCCTTACAGCCTTCTTGATTGGTATTCTGTTGCTTTCCTTATGAAGCACTTAGGTAGCAGTTGATCCCTTGTAGATTTCTTCCAGGATGTTTATATATACTTCATCGACGCCCTGATTCCGCACATGCATAGGTCAAATAACTCATGGTCAGAAAATAGGCGTGCGCAAAGAAAATTGTTGACAGGAGGGCTTTTCCTCTCCACTCAATATATTTAGGAGAGGGAGAGCTCAAAATGTGCACCATACAGTGACTTAGTAAGAGGGCGGGGGGGGCGAATAGATGAAGCTTCGCCATGCCTGATGGGAAACACGTCGCATGCCTATGAATTCAAATGTGGGTGTACAGATCAAGCCAGCTATACGTCACTGAAAATTATTTTGTTATCGTCGGAGTTAGCTGTTGCAATATTTTTACACAAGCTTTGAAATACGCTGCTGTGAGATAAAATGTAAGGCAAGCTGACTAAAGAAACGCAGTGTTGTCACTGTGGAAAGCTTTGCTTGCCTCCCTGGCTCGTTTCTAATTAAAGCATTGTACAGCCAAGCACATTTGTAAAACCAGCTGATAGCCGCAATTATTTACAATAGCCAGCTATATGACCAGGGTATAGAGGCTCCGATTGACTGAGTGTCCTTCCTCAGCAAGCCAATGGCCGGCAATATAAGTGTCGCAGCGCGCAACATAAGAAATATTTATTGTAATTAATGGCAGGTCCTCCTTCAGCAACACGGCTCTCTGTGTTGTTAGACTTGCTTTGATGACGTTCAGTCTCAGTTCCCCAGCCGGTCGTAACAAATTTTCCAGCTGCGATAGGTTGCACAACACGTCACGTACGCAGGTGGCTATTCTAGAGCTTTATTAGGGCTTGTTTGGCTGAGTTTAAATTTGTCTTTCATTGCTCCCTTCATGAACAAAAAAGACGCAGTGAATGAAATAGAAGCACTGCCTTCGAAGCCTGCCTAAAAAAGTCGGTGAATTTTGTTTATTGAGGAAAGTACAGTTTTTTTTGGCACAACTAGAAGTTTCAGTCTCTTTGGCGTTCATTAACTATTTTTTGCGTGAGTATCTTTGTGAAAAGAATTTCTTACCTATATTTCATTTTGTAACGTTTGACGGTTTGAAAATTACTTGATGTGGTCGTCATTATGCCGTTATTTGTTTATATGCGCTGCACGTGTGGTTGTGGTTGCTTTACACCCAGGCTAGACATGAAGTCAGACTTGATGAAAATATTCAAACGTGTGACACAGGAAGCTACGCTTATAAACGAAAGCGTGTTGTTCCCAAGCGGCATTGTATAACGCTGTATTTAACACTATGTGCATGGATATTGAATGAAGGAGAAAAATTGATGCGCCTTAGCGTGACAAAGAGTGCACCTTTTCTTTTTTGCTCAATCAAGTATAGAGATCGACAACTGACGCATGAGTCCGCGCTTGTCGGCGAAGGATTTTGTATATCTCCCACCGATGATGCTCTCGATACCTTTTCATTGTGTTACGCTAAGCAATGATCGATTTTCAAGCATTTATAGTATTTATTGGGGTTTAACCTCCGAATACCACGATATGATTGTGAGAGATGCGGTGTGGAGTGCTCCGGATATTGGGAGCACCTGGGGTTCTTTAAAGCGCGCCTAAATTTAAGTACGCGGACTTAACACAATTAAGCTCTCATTGAGAGCATTCAACAACAGAGTGACAGTGCATGCGCCGTCGCGCTGTAATATATACTCAGGTCGCGCTCGCTCGCTCAGTTGCCGCTCGTCGGTTGTTTGTACGGCGCGTCGACGTCCAGGTCGCGGTGAAATGAATTCCAACGAATCCACAACACCAAGATCGACGTCCTCGACCAGCGATGACTTTCGCATACGTGTGTAGTGTTCACTCATTTACACCCCCTCCTACAACCACGTAACCAATTTAGCCACGACCAAGTAAGTCGCAATTTAACACCCATTCACAACCACGTTAACCAATTTAGCCATCGACCAAGTAAGTCGCACTTAACACCCCGTTAACCAATTATATGATCGCATTCCTCATCAGTGTTCCCCGAAGGAAGCTGGCGGGCAATTTTTTTCTATGTATTGAATGTATGGAACTACTGCAAAGACACAGTATCTCGCCCCTCTTTTGTCAATGTGTATCGAATAGCAAGGAAAAGCTAGTGTGCGCTTAGCGTCAAAAAAGCGCCCCGCCAGTCGGCGACACAAGTAGATGAGCGAAGAATCTCCCACACGCACAAAACGCTTCATGAGGAGTATATGACGCGATACGCAGAATCGAGGAGGCAGTGCTGACGATATTGCAGTTTTTTAAAGGCCGTTGAAGCACTGCCAGATATTGGCGTAACAATTCGGTACTTAGTAGTTATAACAGGAAGTTGTGTTGGCTACAATAATAAACAGGCTTCCGATATCGCCAGTCTTCAATTCAAACTAAACCAGTGCTGTCTATTGCCAGCCATTTAGGATGTTGGTGTTACTTTAGTGCAATTAGCGTAAAGCTTCTAAGCACAAAGGATTGAGATGGGTGTAAAATAAGAGCATACTGCACCTTACATAATTGCTGTTTTAGTCAGTGAAGCGATACTAATCAGGCTGACTTGCATTTACTTATCTGCAGGATATGAACGATGTAAGGTACACTTAAAGGCCAAACTCTGGCGATTTTTTCACCATGTTATCTTGTCTTTTGGACTCTTCTCACGCGTCCGATACCTGAAAGCTAAAAAAATTGAAAAGAATTTTAATTACCCGAAACCAACACAAAAAGAGAAACCTACCAAGTGCGCCTTACGTCTGACGTAAAGATTTGCCGGACGTGACGGAACTGCCTGGTTGCACATAATGCCCGCTAGAGGGCACTACCTGTCCGCACTGTCCGCGGCAATCTGTTAAAACGCTACGGCTGTTAGGTGAACAAAAGGCGAATTATGTGTGGACACAACACAACACCAA